GGGCTGGCCCACCGCTGCCCAGGCCGCGTAGGTAAAGATGCTGCCGGCAGGGGGCGCTCGGAGCCCGCGCAGCGCTCAGGGCCGGACCCGGCGCGGCCCCGGGGACCGCGCGCGGCGCAGGACCCGGCTGGGGTCCCCCCGCGTGTCGTCCCCTCCGGGCGGCCTGGCCGTGCCCCCCTCCCCGCCCCATCCCCACCCCCGCCCGCCCCTCGCCAAGGCCTCCCCGCGCCCCTCCAAGAGGCCCGTTGCGGCACCAAGTGCCGGCTGGGCCCCCCGCGGCCGCTGTCCGGGGTCCGGGCGCGGGGCTGACCTCGACCTCGGGGCATCCGCGCGGCGGGACTCCCCGGGGGACCGCGAGGGGGGACAGTGGGAGGGACCCCCGGCTGCTCCGAGCCGTCGGGGCTCAGGGTCGGCGCGGGCGGGCGGGCGGGCGGGCGGGAGGATGGGGGCGCGGGAGGTCGGTCCCCGCCAGGCACCCGGCGCGTGCGGGACTCCGCACCCCGGTCCCCGGTGTCCACGGGTCTGTCCCTTCTCCGTCCACACCCACCCGGGCAGTCAGTCCCGCACCGCGCGCGCCCCGCAAGCCGCGCGGGGCTCTTGGAGGAGCTCCTCGGCCTGCTGGGAGCACCCCCGGGATGCGGGATGCGCAACCTCAGAGCCGCCGCCGGACACCGCGGGGCTTCGGGGTGTCCAGGCCGGGCTGGGCAGGGCAGCGGGCGCGCCCCGACCCCAATCCGCGGGGACCTGGGTGCGGAGGAGCGGGGCCCGCGGGTATTTGTTGTGTGTTTGTTGGTTTGTTTCTCCCCCCCCCCCATTCCAGTCCCCTCCCTCCATCCCCAACTGGTCCTGGTAGGTGGACTCCGAGGGACAGAGGAAAGAGCGTCTTGTCTTCCGTCCGGGTTAAAGATTCACTCCCACTTGCCCTATGGCCCTTGGCTCCCCAGCTCTGCTCTGGGTCCCACAGACCAGCGGGGACGCAGGGACCAGGGCGGCTGTGGGCACAGCTCTACCCTGTAAGTCATTCCTGGGAGGCGGGTCAGTACAGGACAGGGCAGAAGAGAGGACAGGTGACATCCCTGGGCTTCCCGTGGGGGGCCAACGAACTGAACCCGGATTAACTCTATCTCCAGACGAAGCTCCGTGTCAGAGGAAATCGAAAAAGTGACGCTGCTCTCATTTGTCGTGGGGATCGAGGGTCACCCCTCTCGCAAGGCGGGGGTTGGATCCGAAGGGACGAGTGAGCAGGATGTCTACGCGGGTGTCCCCCTGATGGAGAGGACACAGATGCCGCCTCAGCACCACCCAGACGGCAGCCGGGCCCGTCCCCGAGGCTGAGAAGTGACTCCCAGCGCAAACGAATAACGAACACAGACACACCCCGGGGTCTCCTGCCCTGCACCTCCAGGCTGGCCACCTGGAGAACGAGGTGCCAGGACACCCCGAAAACGAAGAGCAACCGGGTTGTTGTGGATTTCAACCCTGTGGGGAGGGTTTCGGGTTCCTGTGGTGGGTCAATGCCTTCCCCACCCCCTGGTCTCCCTTCCAGGAAAGCGGGGGTGACCTCGCTGGGGGGTTCTGCAGAGCTGGGATGCCGGCAGCCTCCAGAGTAGGAGGAACGGCCTCTCCTGTTCCCCCCCAAACAGCTCACAGGCAGCTCAGGGGCCAAGCAGGAGACACCCTCCCCCCAAACTGCAGGCAGGGGCCAAGCACCCCTCCCCCAAGGGCCAGCACTGAAAGCCCCGCCCAGAACCAAAGGCGTCTATAAGCCAATCCCGGGGAGGGGTGGTCCCCTGGCAGCGTGGGCAGTGAGGGACCACCTTGGCTCCTGCCAGCCAGGCACCCAAACCCGTGCACCCCACTGGCTCCCTGTCGGTCCCCTGTTCCTCATCCCCCTGGAGAGAGGCTTCCCGGAGCCGTGGGGGTGGGGCCGACCCTTATTCCCTGTACTCGTCTGGCAACAAGTGAAAGAAAGATGAGCCCTCCTGAGGTCACCCCCGCCCCACATTCCTGTGGTGTCACTGCGTTCCCGGGCGGGCATTTCCTGGAGTGCCTGCCACCTCTCCCTTCCGGGTGGAGCTCCTCGGGGACCCGGACACCTGGGAGAGGGGGGTTTTCGGATTTGATTTTTGAGGTCGCCCTGAAGTCATGCCCCTTCCTGGGAGCAGAGAACTTTGGGGCGGCCGGAACAGTGTCTCCGCCTGCCTGCCCTCCCGGCTGACTGGTGGTGTGTCTGGGGGTGGGGGGCGGGGGGGTCGGAGGCGGCACGGGCTGCAATACCACCATCCATTACTGCTGTCGCCCGCGGGAGCTGCAGGCTGCAATGCACGTTCTCAAGGTGTCAGAAAGGAACCTGGAGATTTCCTACGAGGGGGTGGGGGGGGGGGGGGTCGGCGTTTCAAGCCCTTGGAGTCAGGCTTGTTGGAGGGCTCAGATGGCTCAGACGTGGGCGAAATGGTGACCAGAGGGGCACCCCCCAGGCCGGAGCTGTAGCCCGTTCCTCCCCCAGACCTGTCTCAGTGCCTTCGCCTTCCCTAAGACCACGAACAATAATAAAATAAGGTCTTGAAATACAAGCAAACCGTTTACAGGAGGTTTGCTTCCGAGTAAGCTTATAAAACACAAATGCGAATGTCTTTTCTTGGCGAATCTCCAGAGCTCCACCGGTGGAAAGTTGATCTGTCTAAAACGGCACCCCTCCATTTTTTTTTTCTTCCCTCCCATGCCAGATACGAGTTTCATAACGCCAACTCGAGGCACCAAGCAAAGAGACCTGAACCCCAGAGCTGGTGGCTCTGCAGTTTACGTAACAGGCTTGGGTGAGGTGATCGGGGTGGAGTGGGGTACAGTGGGGTACAGCGGGGTACAGCAGTCTTTCGCGAAATGTCCCATCACTGATCCTTCCTACACTGGGAAAGCGAAACAGTCACCGTCCTGTCCTTGCATTGGTCTCCAGAGCAGAGCAGCAGCGACCAGAGGGAAGGAATCCGAGAGAAATCTCAACGCCGGAGCGGCCAGGCCGAAGGCTGAGAGACTGGGAGAATTCTTGGGCATAAGGGCTGATGGGGTACAGGGCCGAGACTGGGCATGAATTCCGTTTTCCAGAGGTGGGGCTTCTCTCGACGTCTCCCCTCTTGCCTACAATTAATTAGGTCCCAACAGCAACCCAACCTCCTTGGGATAAATCAGGCATTTCTTCCCGGGAAGGGATTTTCAAGTGACCTCAACGCACAGCAGCCCGCCACCCCACCCCAGGTCATCAGCTGCCTCAAGGATTCCACAAGAATTCCACATTCTCCCCCCCCCCCCCCACCCCAGACTCTCTGAGTGATGGGACCTCCTACACACACACACACACACACACACACACACACACAACCCCTTCCTGTAAACTCTGTTTGCAAATGTCCAAGCCGCACAAAACCGTGTCCCCACACAACCCTGAGTGCTGGGCCCGGAGCTAAAGCTGGACTCAGACTTTTTCCCTCTGCTCGAGGAAGCGAAGCGGGATTGGAGCCGGGGAGCCCAGAGGAATCTCCAGGCTCTGCAGCTGGAGGTCGGCTCAGACCTGAAGGCCGTGGGGCTAAGTGCTTCATGTGCCAGCTTCTCCCTAAACTGACCGGTCCTTCTGCTTCTGGGAAAGGGCCAGGGTCCCGCCTGGAGCAGGGTCGTTTCCAAAGCTGCCGAGATGCATCGCTCTGCAGGCCGGGAAGCCTGATCTCCCCTGCCCCTTTCTTCCTCTTACCAGCGCTCCCAACTCACGGAGAAACTGCAGGCCTCAGGCAGAAGGTCGTGGGAGCCCCTCTCAGGCCCCTGAGTCCCCAGGCTCCTTGCAAGTGCCATTTTGAACACACACACACACACACACACACACACACACACACACACACACACACCAGAAGAAAACCCTCGGATTATCACCGCCAGCCCGGCCAGCCGGCAGCGCGCGAGACTGAGGGCTGACGGGGGCGCGTTGTCATAAACTCCTCGACGTATTTATTTTGCTTTCTTGTCATCACACCTGCTCCTGTCACCGACCCCTCCTCCCGGCCCAAAAGGTCGAACCGGACTCGAAGAGGCTGTCACGCCTCGAGGTTCGGGGACTCTGCGGGCTCCGGAGCCGAGAGCGCGCGGGGTCCGTCCAGGCTCCGGCCGCCCGGGACCGACAGTGGCCTTCGCGGGGCCGGGGAGCGGCGCGCGCGGCGGAGTGCCGGACGCAGGGTCCTGGGACGCAGCCCCCGCAGCCCCTGGAGCCCCCTCCTCCATTCCTCCTGGGGAGGACCAGGCCGGAGGGAGCCGGCCGCTGTCCCGGCGAGGGCGCGGTCCCGCGAACTGCAAACCAACCACCCAGCTCCGAGGCGGGGGTCTCGGGAGGCTGCGTCGGGCCCGGGGGACACTTCTGTGACCCGAGCGGAGCGGGCGGCCCGGAGGGGTGGGGAGGACGGAGAGGGGTCGGGGTAGGGGACACCAGGCCATCGGGTGGAGGAGGGGCCGGCCGGAGGGGCGCCAGAAACCGGGGCGAGCCGAAGCGAGCGGGGCGCCCCGGGGGGGAGAGAGAGGAGAGGTGCCGGGCCGGGGGGTGTGGGGGTGGGAGTGGGGGCTGGAGGGGGGCGAGGGTGCCAGGAGCACCCAGAAAGTGCGGGGACCCAGGCGGGGCCGGGGGTTGGGGGGGCGCGATCGCGGGGTGCGGGCCGCGTGCGGGCGCGCGGGGCGGCCGGGGCCGGGGCCGGGGGCGCCGGGCGGGCGGGCGGGCGGCGGGGCGCGGGCGGCCGGCGCGCGTGTGGTCAGCCCCGCGGTCCTCCCGCGGCGCGGGGCGCGGGGCCGGCCGGGGCTCGGCCTCCTCCCGGCCTCATTCAGAGGCGGTTCTCGCGCTGCCATTGGCTGCGGCGGCGGGGCCGGGGCGGGGCCCGGCGGCCCGGAAAAAATGTAATGCGTAAAAAAGTCCTCGCCTGGGTGACGGATGCTCAAAAGTTCAGGAGTTTTTCCCCCCATGCTTCCTTAAGCGGCCGGCGCGCGAGCAGCCCGAGCAAGAAAGGAGGAGAAAGAAAGGAAAAAAAAAGAGGAGAAAGGAAAAAAAAAAAGGTGACGCGGGGCCCGGGCCGGCGGCCGGCGCGCCCCCCCACCCCCCACCCCCCGCCGCCCCTGGGTATTTGGCCGCGCTCGCCGGCGGCGCGGGGCAGAGTCTGCAGCGAGCTGGGCGCCTGCCTTCCCCGGGCGCGCTCCGGGGCTCGGCTGTCCGCGTCGTCCGGCGCCTTCGCCCGCCGCCGCCGCCGCCGGGAAGGACGCGCGCGGAGGCCGCGGGGCCGCGTCCCGGCCGGAGCCCGAGTGGCCGCGGGCGGCGCGGCGGGCCCCGAGTGAGCGGCGGCGGCTTGGAGAGGCCGCGCGCGCGCGCGGCGCGGAGGAGCAGGAGGAGCGGGAGCAGGAGGAGCAGGAGGAGCGGGAGCAGGAGGAGCAGAAGGAGCAGGAGGAGCAGGAGGAAGGCGGCGGCGGCCCCGGCCCCGGCCCCGGCGCCCCGGCTCGGGCTCGGACTCGGCGCGGCGGCCCGGCCGCGCGTTGGGCGGCGGCGTTGGCGTTGGCGTTGGCAGCAGCGGCAGCGGCGGGGCCATGCAGGCGCGCTACTCCGTGTCCAGCCCCAACTCCCTGGGAGTGGTGCCCTACCTCGGCGGCGAGCAGAGCTACTACCGCGCGGCGGCCGCGGCGGCCGGGGGCGGCTACGGCGCCATGCCGGCCCCCATGAGCGTGTACTCGCACCCGGCGCACGCCGAGCAGTACCCCGGCGGCATGGCGCGCGCCTACGGGCCCTACACGCCGCCGCCGCAGCCCAAGGACATGGTCAAGCCGCCCTACAGCTACATCGCGCTCATCACCATGGCCATCCAGAACGCGCCCGACAAGAAGATCACCCTGAACGGCATCTACCAGTTCATCATGGACCGCTTCCCCTTCTACCGGGACAACAAGCAGGGCTGGCAGAACAGCATCCGCCACAACCTGTCGCTCAACGAGTGCTTCGTCAAGGTGCCGCGCGACGACAAGAAGCCCGGCAAGGGCAGCTACTGGACGCTGGACCCGGACTCCTACAACATGTTCGAGAACGGCAGCTTCCTGCGGCGCCGGCGCCGCTTCAAGAAGAAGGACGCGGTGAAGGACAAGGAGGAGAAGGACCGGCTGCACCTCAAGGAGCCGCCCGCGCCGCCGCCGCCCCCCGGCCGCCCGCCGCCCGCCGCCCACGCCGCCGCGGCCCCGGAGCCCCCCGACGGCGGCGCCGGCGCGGCCAGCGCCAACGCCAGCGCCGGCGGCGCGCCCGGCGCGCAGCCGCCGCCCGTGCGCGTGCAGGACATCAAGACCGAGAACGGTACGTGCCCCTCGCCGCCCCAGCCCCTGTCCCCGGCGGCCGCCGCCCTGGGCAGCGCCGCCGCCGCCGCCGTGCCCAAGATCGAGAGCCCCGACAGCAGCAGCAGCAGCCTGTCCAGCGGCGGCAGCCCCCCGGGGGGCCTGGCGGCGGGCGCGCGGCCGCTCGGCCTGGACGGCGGCGGGGAGCCCGCGCCCCCGCCGCCCGCGCCGCCCGCGCCCCCGCCGCCGCCGCCGCCGCCGCCGCACCACAGCCAGGGCTTCAGCGTGGACAACATCATGACGTCGCTGCGGGGGTCCCCGCAGGGCGCGGCGGCCGAGCTCAGCCCCGGGCTGCTGGCCCCGACGGCCGGCGCGGCGGCGGCGGCGCGCGCGGGCCTGGCGCCCCCGCTGGCGCTCGGCGCCTACTCGCCGGGCCCCGGCGCGCTCTACAGCTCCCCCTGCGGCCAGGGCGCGGGGGGCGCGGGCGGCCAGGGCGCGGGGGGCGCGGGCGGCCAGGGCGCGGGCGGCGGCGGCGGCGGGGCCGCGGGGGCCGCGGGGGCCGCGGGGACCTACCACTGCAACCTGCAGGCCATGAGCCTGTACGCGGCCGGCGAGCGCGGCGGCCACCTGCAGGGCGCGCCCGGGGGCGCGGGCGGCCCGGCCGTGGACGACCCCCTGCCCGACTACTCGCTGCCGCCCCCGGTCACCAGCAGCAGCTCGTCGTCCCTGAGCCACGGCGGCGGCGGCGGCGGCCAGGACGCCGGCCACCACGCGGCCGCCCACCAGGGCCGCCTGACGTCGTGGTACCTGAACCAGGCGGGCGGAGACCTGGGCCACCTGGCCAGCGCGGCGGCGGCCGCGGCGGCCGCGGGCTACCCGGGCCAGCAGCAGAACTTCCACTCGGTGCGCGAGATGTTCGAGTCGCAGCGCATGGGCCTGAACAACTCGCCGGCCAACGGGAACAGTAGTTGCCAGATGGCCTTTCCGTCCAGCCAGTCTCTGTACCGCACGTCGGGGGCCTTCGTCTACGACTGCAGCAAGTTCTGACGCGCCCCCCTCCGCGCGCGCGCCCGCCCGCCGCCCCGCCGAGCCCCCCTGCACCGAAGCCCCAAGCGACAGCAGCCCAGAGAGCCACCGGTGCAAAAGCGAAACCAAAGAGAGACAGAGAGAGAGACAGAGACACACACACACAGAGAGAGAAGCCCCCCATTCCCATGAAAGGACACTAAGGACAGCCTTCCTCCGGCCGACCAGCGGACACAATCCCTGCAAAGATTCGACCCACCAGCAGCAAGAAAACTATTTTCTTAAAAAAAAAAAGACCCACAAACACCAGATAATTTCAGAGCCACCTCCACCTTTGCCTTATCTAAATAAACAAACCCGTAAACTGTTTTGTACAGAGACAGCAGTCATGGTTTATTAAAGGACAGTGTTACTCCAGATAACACGTAAGTCTCTTCTTTCTTCTCAGACATCATCGCTTTCCCCATCCCCTCCCCGCCCGGGGCCCTCGCCCTCTCTCGCCTCTCACCTCTCACCTGTAAGATATTTTATCCTACCTGGAAAGGAGGGGGGAGAGTCCCCCCGTATATGAAAATCGCTTCCTTTTTATTCATGGACTTGTTTTAAAATGTAAATTGCAACATAGTAATTTATTTTTAATTTGTAGTTGGAAGTCGTGGACCAAACGCCAGAAAGTATTTCCAAAACCTGACGTTAAATTGCCTGAAACTTTAAATTGTGCTTTTTTTTTTTCATTATAAAAAGGGAAACTGTATTCATCTTATTCTATCATCTTTACTTTTTTTTTGTCGAACATATTCGTTGTTTGTTTATTAATAAATTGCCAGTTTGGATGAGACTTTATGTCTGGATACTTTTAATACTCTGAATTCTCGTCAGCAGGAAAAAAGATATTTCAGAGATTCAAACACTTTTAGAAATGATCTATTCTCTATCTCTGACAAAATGGAGAAACCCTCTGACTATTCCTTGTCAAAGCTCACCTAAAAGTCTTTTTCTTTAAATTGTTTTTTCCTCCCCTGCAAAATGTCCTATATCATCGGCTTGCTTTGCGATTAGTAAAAAAAAAAAAGAAAGAAAAAGAGAGAAAAAAAGAATAAGATTTTTTTTTCCTAAAGAGATTCGACTCGGCATTAAACATGTACATTATCTCGGTAATGACAGAACACATTTGGCAATTTTTAGCCTATGAATCAGCAGCTGTTCTATCTCTGATACGTACCTGCAGGGTTCTCTGATATGTTCCTTTCCCCAAATGGCTGTGAATATTTGACTTTCCTGGCACATAAAAAATATCCATGTGCATTATACATCCTGTAAGCCAAATGGTGGCTAGATTTTTTCCCCCCTATTACTCTCATTCCTTTGTAAGAGGAAAACTACAGCAGTTTAAAAATATATGTATAGAAACTCCTCCACATTCACAATCCTTCCTGTGTTACATAGAAGGATTGAAGTGTGTGTGGTTTTTTTTTTTTTTAAATATACTGTGGGTTGAAAAGGGATATTTAATCTTTGGGAAACTATTTTAGAAGCTATGTTGTAGAACAATTATTATTATTGTTATTATATTATTATTATTTGGGGGGAAAGACTTAAAGCAAGAACGAGAAGGAAGGAGAGAGGGCCAGAAACTTGGGGGTCTAAGGGCAGGCTTTATTCAATCCAATTTTTTCTTGCTAATTTACAGTTAAACCTAGGGGCAATCCGGATTGGCCCTCCCCCCTTTGTAAATAACCCAGGAAATGTAATAAATTCATTATCTGAGGGTGATCTGCCCTGTCAATCAGACTTTGGGGAGATGGCGATTCGATTACAGACGGTCAGGGCCTTTATTTGTTTTCGAGATAATACAGTTTCCTGCTATCTGCCGTCGCTTATCTAGAGACAACAGTTAGCAGTAATTGCTGTTGGTTGTTGTCAAAATTTGATCATTGTTAACGGATTGCTGCAAATAAATACACTCTAATTTCAGTCAAAAACCGCTGCCTACGGCCTCTCTTTGCTGGGTCTCCTCGCGGAGCGGGAACCTCTGGGCGCGGACGCAGCGGCGCGGGGCGCCCCGTCTCCGGGGAGGACCCAGCCGGGCAGCGAGGGGCCTGGCCGCCGCGGCCCCGGGCTCCAGGGCGCCCAGCCTTGCGCGGGGCACCCCGCTTCGGGGTGGGCAGTGGAAGGCCAGACCCCCTCTCTCCCGCGTGTCTCGGGAGCTCCCGCCGGCCGCGGGGAGCCGTGCGCTCCGGCCGGGATTTGCGGACAAAGGAGCTGGTGCCGGCCCGGCAGAGAGAACAGGCCCCAGAGGGACGCGGCAGCAGGTGACCCCCGGGCCCTGTCCCCTGGGACCGGGTGGCTGAGCCCCCAGAGGGGCGGCGTGGGCAGTCAGAGAACGCGCCGGTTTCCACTTGGATTTTTTTTTTTTTGGTTTTTGGTTTTCTTTTTTTTTTGTTTTTGGAACTTGGGGGCGCGGGAGGGAGGGGTGGCGAGCCGAGACGTGTCCACTCGGCCTGGCCAGCTGGGGCGTCGCTGCGCGTCCGGGTCCCGCCGTGTCGCGCCTGTCGCGGACGCCGGACGCCGCTGGCCGACGGGAAGGCTCTCCGGCTAATTAGCTGTAATTACCCGCCGGCTTCTGTTTGCGTCCGCAGCTCTTTCCTCCCCCACCTTCCCGGCCGGCCCCCGCCCCGCCGAGTGCGTGGTTCGGGGGAGGAAAAGTGGGTGTGTGTGGGGGGACTTGTAAGGGGGATCCCGCGGGGTCCTTCCAGGCCGCGGGGGCCGCAGAGACGGGGCGCGCGCGCGCGCGCGCGCGCACAGGGAACTGTGTCTCGGGCCAGGGTCTCCCGCGCCGTCCCCCACCCCCGACCCCCGCGCCCGCCGTACGTGTCGGGACAGCGCGTTGGCCGCGGGTGTTGCGAAGACGCACGTGTGGTTCGGGGCGCAGCCGGGGTGGAAAGGTCACGGCCCTCCCTCGAGCCCGGGTGGCAGCGCGCCCCGTGCCGCGCCCGCCGCCCGGGAGCCTCGGCCCGGCCCGCCTCTCCCGCCCCGGGGTGCAGGGGTGCCGCCGGCCGCCCTACCCGGGCTGCGTCTCCGCAGATCATGTGGGAGGCCGAGAATTATTTGGCCGCAGAGAAAGGAGTGGGTGGGTAGGTGGGTGGGGACTCTCATCCACCTGTGTGGGGGGGTGTGGAGGGGGAGAAGTTGGCAGATGGCAGCAGGGTGGGCGACGTCCACGTGCCCGCGACGCTCTCTCCCAGGCGCCGGCTTTGTTGTCCCCAGACATTGTGATCTTGGCCGGCGTAAGGGGACGGAGGCCTGGCCGGGCCCCGCAGAGGTGTGGGGAGGTGGCGGCCGGGCCTAGAGCCCCGGGGGAGGGAGCGCAGCGAGGCCCAGAGCCGCGGGACCCGGGTAGGCGCCCCTGCGGAACCGGCCCGGGGGGCCCGAGCCAGGCTTCCGGCTCCCTTGACCCACTCTTGGGTCGGGCGCTCCTGGCTCAGCGGCCCCGGAGCGAATGGGACAGAGAGGCCTGAGCTCTCGGGGCAGCTGGTCCTCAGGGTGTTTGCGTGCTTGCGTGCTTGCAGGGGAGGGAAAAGCAGCTTTTAATATGTTTGCCCGCTTAGAACCAGCTTTGGGAGGAGGTAGACCCAGGCAGCGCGCAGCTGAGGCGAAGGTGTTTGTGCGGAAACTTAAGAGGCAGAGCAAGAGTTCTCTCGGAGGCAGGGGGGAGCCCGTGGGAAGCGAGACACTCTGAGTGTCCGGGTTCTGAGTTTTTAAAACGACCTCAGACGTGCTCTTCAAGCACACTGGCTTTGGCGTTCTCCTGTCCAACGAAAAGGAAAGAAAGCCCCAAATGCCAGACCTAAGCCAGGAGTTCTCCTTTCACTTCCTGTCCCAAGTTGGCTTTGTAGTTCTTTAGCCAGAAGGATACACCCTCTAGACAACCCCCCCCCCCAGCATCCATCGAGCCCCACAATAGTCTTAAGAAAAAACTCCTAAATAATTGAATAGAAGGGACATCTTGAAATCAGTCACCAAAGGACACCCGGGCAGCCTCTGCAGAAACGTAGGGATAATAAGTATTTGTCCCCTGTGTACTGGAGGCATTTATTATTGGAGCCGTTTATACCAGGACCAAGCAGGCCAGCTTGTTACATAGCACCTAAAAGTTTGCGTCTGGAACACGGGGGCACGTGGGGGGGGGGGGTAGGCGTGCTGTTTTTCGGGTTATGGTGTTGTGTTCGCTGCTGTTCTTCGCCTGCAAACAAGCATGCGTTTGACAATCCATCGACCCGCGGAGTTTGTGTCTTTTAATAACCGATGTTTGCAGAGGAATAAGGCTCAATTGTGGCCCTGGTCAGCGCTTGGCTGTTTCCTGCCGGGTTAGACGGAGGGTCAGCAAACAAGAGTGCTTCAGAGTCCTGGGGCTCCCCGGAACTTCCTTGGGAGAAGAAGGGGCGCAGGACCTTTTCTTCCCACCCTGGTCCCTTGGGAGGGGTCTCTGCGGTTAAGACACAGCACCCTTAGTTTTGCCCTTCTTGGTATAAAAACCCAGGGAGACCCAAACCTTCTCTGCCCGAGGGTCCAGATCCCTGTCCTCCGGCCCTCCTGGGAATGAGGGTTGCTGCCTGCAGAGAGACTGGCGTCAGTGGCTCTTTGGACCCCCATCTCCGAGCCCCCGTCTGGGGGCCCCATTTGCTCCTGGTCCTAGCTCCCGCTGCCACAGACCCCCCGCCCGCTGCTGTGGGGGCCCCTTTCCCTTTAGAATATTCCAAATCCTCTCCAGACTCACTTCAGATGCAGTTCACAAAGCCATTAGCCCTTCCCACCCGGTCATAAACAAATGTCGCGTTAGGGGCAAGATTGATGGGGGCCGTGTAATAAAGCTGGCAGGCAGTCATTCTTCAGGCAGGCAAGGAGCTGGGGGGCTGTCGGAGAGAGGGAGGAAGGGGCCGAGGACGATGTCAGAGTGGTCACTTCCCCACCAAGTCGTGGGTGGGGTGGGGGATAGGGCACAGAGGGCGAGGGGACCCCACCCGAAATTTGGGAGTCGACGACCAGCAAAGGGTAGTGTATCCAGACAGGGAGAACGTAACAGGGATACCAGCGGGAGCGACTCTCTCGGGGGCAGCTCGTTGGAGGGCCCTCCGCGCTGGCGTGGGAAACCCCACTTTTCCCAAAATGTTCCCTCCTCACTTAGCCCGAGGTGGGGCAGAGAATTTTGATTCAGGCCCGGCACTGCTGCCGTCCCAGTGGGAAGCTGCCCTTTGCTGCCGGAGCTTCTAGTCCAGAGCTGGAAGTTTTCTGGTTTCCTCTCCCTCTCTGACCCCCACAGCTCATCACCCTCCCCCGTTCCCTTCACTGCCTGGCGCCCCTCCGTCCCAGTCCTCCTCTCCCGCATCTCTGTGGGAGACCCCCCCCCAGGTCCCCATTCTCACCCAGCACCACTGACTCTTTGGGGCTGCGTCGGAGGGTGGCCGAGACCCTGAGTCCTCGCGCCCAGATCTCCACTGGACAGACAGACAAACGGGGAGAAGGACAGACAGGCTCCAGGGAGACGTGTTGGGCCGGTCAAGGAGCGGTACCTAATTAAATGAACGCCGGCTCCAAGAGCCATCGGGGAGAACGAGAGCCGGTTCTCCACGATGCTTCAACGTGATTAGGAGTGGAAAATTGGGCAAAATGTACCATGTCCGCCTTATTGGAAAGGAAAATAGGGCGCAGGAGCAGCAGGCCTGGCCACAGACCTTTGTTGTACCCCTTTCCCAGCTCCAAAGAAACCCTCTGTTTTATATTATATATTTTTTTCTGTTGTTTACTTGATTTCTTCCCTCACTGATTTTAAATTTGCAG